TATCTATCTATCTATCTATCTATCTATCTATCTATCTATCTATCATCATCATCTATCTATCATCTACATATCTATCTAATCTCTAATCTCATATCTCTATTCTTCTGTATCTCTCTCTCTCATCCCTCTTTTCTATCTATCTCTCTTTTCTATATCTGTAGATTTATCATATCTATCACCTCTTTCCTTCTCTATCTCTCTCTCATCTCTCTCTCTCTCTGATGTCTTATCTATCTATCTCTCATCTGTATATCTTTGCCTACATTTCCCATCTCTCTCTATATTTTATAATCTCTATAATCTCAAACTTTGTCTCTATATTTCAGGTGTGATATGGTCATACTCACTTTATAGCCTCCAAAAATTTCAATTTAGGTAACAAATAGTTGCCTTCCCATCTTGAGACAAAGTAAAAAGAAGAAGACAGCAGGGCCAGAAAGTCTCAGTATCCTAGACACAAATTGTAGAGGTGAGATCCTCAAGAAAGTCATAGAAAAAGGTGAGGTGATTACAGAAACTGAATCGTTTGAGGCAGCTTGGAGAGAGTTATTTTAATACTTTAAAAAAACCATCCAGTTTAGGCCAGTGGCCTTTCATCCCTACATCTTGCAGTAATTCCATATTTCTATAATTAATCAAGTAGTATAGGAAAAAAAAATCTTTACCTGTGTCCTGAACTGCCCACAATCCATTTCACTAAATAACTCCTGAACTCCAGCACTTCTAATTATAAATATATCTGGTTTGGGAGCCTTATTTCTCTTTTTTCTTCTTCCCAGTTTCTGAAGATCTGAGCATCAAACGTGCTGTTCACTGAAGCATGAGCTTTGGACATGGCCACCCGCCGCTGCACTCGGAAGCCTTGGCTGGCCCCCGGCATCTCTAGAATGATTTGGAAACATCTTGTCCTCATCTCCCTCTGGCTGCCATCATTTGTTTTGGGTGGAGCCTCCCCCACCTCCTGCCCAGCTGCTTGTTCCTGCAGCAACCAAGCCAGCCGGGTCATCTGTACACGCCGGGAGCTGGTGGAAGTGCCTGAGAGCATTTCAATCAACACACGGTACCTCAATCTGCAGGAGAATAACATCCAGGTGATAAAGACTGATACTTTCAAGCATCTTCGTCATCTTGAGATTTTACAACTTAGCAAGAACCTCATCCGTAAGATTGAGGTTGGTGCCTTCAACGGCTTGCCCAACCTCAATACACTGGAGCTCTTTGACAACCGGCTAACCACTGTCCCCACACAGGCCTTTGAGTACCTCTCTAAGTTGCGGGAGCTGTGGCTGAGAAACAATCCCATTGAAAGCATCCCTTCTTATGCCTTCAATCGAGTCCCTTCTTTGCGGCGTCTGGACCTTGGAGAGCTGAAGAAGTTGGAGTATATCTCAGAAGCGGCTTTTGAAGGCTTGGTCAATTTGAGGTACCTGAACTTGGGCATGTGCAACCTTAAAGATATTCCAAATTTGACAGCCTTAGTGCGGCTAGAAGAACTTGAGCTTTCTGGAAATCGCCTGGACATGATCCGGCCAGGCTCCTTCCAAGGTCTGACTAGCCTTCGCAAGTTGTGGTTGATGCATGCCCAAGTGGCCACCATTGAACGCAATGCTTTTGATGACCTTAAGTCATTGGAAGAGCTCAATCTCTCCCACAATAATTTGATGTCCTTGCCCCATGATCTATTCACCCCTTTACACCGCTTAGAACGTGTCCACCTCAATCATAATCCTTGGCATTGCAATTGTGATGTGTTGTGGCTTAGCTGGTGGCTCAAAGAGACAGTTCCAAACAACACTACCTGCTGTGCCCGGTGCCATGCCCCACCAAACCTGAAAGGACGATATATTGGAGAGCTGGATCAAAGCCATTTTACTTGCTATGCCCCTGTTATAGTGGAACCTCCAACTGACCTTAATGTGACTGAGGGAATGGCTGCTGAATTAAAGTGCCGAACAGGAACCTCCATGACATCAGTGAACTGGCTCACACCCAATGGCACACTGATGACACATGGTTCCTATCGGGTGCGCATTTCTGTCCTTCATGATGGCACACTCAACTTCACCAATGTGACAGTCCAAGACACTGGGCAGTACACCTGTATGGTGACTAATTCAGCTGGCAACACCACTGCTTCAGCCACACTCAATGTCTCAGCTGTGGATCCAGCCACTACAGGTTATACTTACTTCACTACTGTAACTGTGGAGACCATGGATCCTGGTCAAGAAGAATCAATTCCCACAAAGAAGGAACCTGGGCCAACACCTTCCCAAGGCTGGGGCATGACTTATTCCACTACTTCACTGACTCCTCGCAGCACACGCAGCACTGAGAAGCCATTTACTATCCCAATCACTGATGTCACAGAGAATGGCATGAAAGATTTGGATGATGTGATGAAAACTACTAAGATCATCATTGGCTGTTTTGTAGCCATTACCTTCATGGCTGCTGTGATGCTCATTGTCTTCTACAAACTTCGTAAGCAGCACCAGCTTCATAAGCATCACGGACCTACCCGCACTATTGAGATCATCAATGTTGAAGATGAGCTGCCTGCAGCAGCTGGAGCTCCTGGTGACAGCCATCTTGCGCTTCCTGCCATTGAGCATGACCACCTCAACCACTATGCTGCTTTCAAGGCCCACTACAACAACAATAGTGGTGGTGGACCCCTCACATGCTCCAAGAACCCCATGCTCAATTCCATCCATGAACCTCTTTTATTCAAGAGCAGCTCTAAAGAAAATGTCCAAGAGACACAGATATGACAGCCACAGCCTGAGGAAAAGGGGAGTGATTCTGTGGTGGGAGGGTGGCAATGGATTAGTATATGCAGTGAGGAATATGTTGAGGAACAACTCCTCTCTCCTCACTTTAAAAACAAACAAACAAACACAGGTCTTTCCACCACCATGGCAGATCTTGGATCCCAAGCCTCCACCAGTAGATACCTTTGGTTCTCACCAAGTTAGCGTTTTATGTTCTCTTTTTTTTTTCTTCTGCAAACAAGACACTGCTCTCACCTTCTGCCTGATCTTCCCTTTCTTTTCTTTTTTTCTCTCCCCTTCCTTTTCTTATTTTTCTACCATCCTCCCTTTACATTGGAGACTTTTTTTATACAGATGGGGCTGTTTCTGTATCCAACTACCTGCTGTTTTACTTTGAAATGAATGAAAGAAAGAAAAGAAAAGGAACAATGACAGTGACAAAGAAGGAAGGGAAGACATTTTCCTTTCAACGTCATGGGAATAATCTTTAGGAAGAAGAATAAAACCCAAGTGGAATGGGAAAGGGGTTTTTAAAAAGTCTTATTTTGAGCCACTTTCCGTCAAAATTCTATTTTCATCCATTGGGATATACAAAATAAATAAATTAAATAAAGAAATGGGAGGTCATAGTGGTGCCAGGATCCCCACCCCTGCCCCGCCCCACCTTTGGAGCATGTGGGGATGCTGGGCACACAGGGTTTCGGGAAATTTTTTACGACTAGTATTACTACTATGGGAAAGCAGGCACAGCCAATGTGCTCCCTAGAGACACAGGGGTATGGAGGTATTTTTTAATTTGTAATAATCTGGGGTGGGAATGTTGGGTTTGATGGGGGTTGCACTTCTGGCCTAAAAAAATTGAAAAAGAAAAAAAAAGAAAAAAAGGGGCCTGTGGATTCCCGTGACATTTTGGGGTCTGGTCTGAGTTTCTTATTTTAATAAAATCCATAAAGATGTTTCCAATCCTCCCTAGGATGGTTTTTTCAGTGGGGGGAATAAATGTGAACTATTACTCAAATGCATAAAATGCATTTTAAGGATGGATTTTAGCAGCAGTGCAAATGTATGTAGGGGTACAGGAAGGTATATGCTAGTACTTCTCTTTTACTTAACCCCATTCTTCCTGTTCCTGACCTTATTAAGCTAAGCTACCAAGTCATAAGAGTGTGTATGTGGATTGTGGGTTCTTGCATTCATTTGATTGCTTCGGGTGTTGCATTTATGTTCAAGAACTCATGTGTAGAATCCTACTTTAATTTCCGCCAGTTAATGAAGAGGTCACTGTCTGAGAAAGTAAGATAGTACATACTAGAGACTTTGGGAATGGGGCCATAATATATGAATCCATGATTTTCTTTGCTTTCTTTGAACCAGGTTGGTCATCACACATGAACTGGTCTAATATCAATGAGGTAGAGATGGAGATACTGCAATATAACATAATTTCTCACCAACACACATCAGGGGGGATTCAACAGTTGTCATTCATATCATTCCCGATCATAGGGAATATAGTGTGATCTCTATGGATGAATCTGCTTTCTTATATGGAGACCCAAGGACTAAGCATTTAAAGAAAAAGACCAATATTACATATTATGGTACTATGGGAAACCACAGAGTCCCAGCTATCATTGATAGTAGTCATGGGATGTGAAAGATGTAGTCCAACAACCTTTGAAAGACCGGATTTTTCCTACCCATCATGTGAGAAGAAAAGTTCCCACATCTAAAGACTTCACATTATTTAAACTTCAACCAGAAGAAAGTAACTTATGTTATTTCAATTAGGTATTACAAGGCAATCTGCTGCACCTTCACAAGTGTCGGTACTATAGTTTCCAACATTCCAGTTGGAAACCTGAATATTTGGAGAAAGCTGTGATAGATAGGGAGACTGAGAACTTTCAAACTTTCATGGGAAAAAATTGGATCGAAGAAAAGATGGAAGGAAACTCCAGAAGATTGTTTCACAAAAGAGATCTGGGAATTGGAGAAGCAAAACTTACAGGAGGCATGAATGTTTGGGATAGGATAGAACCAACACTGTCTCCCCAACTTGATCTTCTGAATTGGCAGGCAGTTTATGTAAAAAGATGGTCTGAGGATTTGGAGAGTTTAGTACATCTAGAGGACATCCAGTTGGGGAAGGTTTATTGTAATTGTTATTGTGAGATGCCCAGAACTGCTTAAGAGGGTCAGTCATACAAATGGTTTTAAAAATAAATAAAGATGGTCTAGATATTTAAGGAATATGGATTAGATCAGGTTGCTGAAGGATTAAAGTGAGGAATTATTTGATCTGTTATGCTATGTGAATGCTATGAAAAAATGAAAGTGGGTGAGGGATGACAACATATGACTAGACAGGAGAAGATTGCTGTAGTCAAGACCCCCCCCCCAAAAAAAAATATGGCCAAAATATGAAAAAAAGAATTTGAAAAAGGGTGAAAAAAATGAGCTATCCTGTATATTTTTTTCTTGCAGGGTTGCACACAGAGAAATGACATTATCTTTTGGTGGGTGGGTTCAATGTGGAAACAAAACATGGAATATTTTTCCACTAAGGAAAAAAAAGATTCTCTCTCTGTTCATCTTTTTTGGGTAGTAATGTCAAAATAATTTTTTAAATATATTATTTTTATTAAAATATTTTTCTTAATATAAAATACAAATGAGACAATGGAAAGAATAGGAAGGAAAGTGGATAGAGAAGTTAAAGTAGGGAAAGAGGAAAAAAGAAACAAAAAGCAATAGCTCCCAATTTTTTTCAATTACCTAAACAAAGTTAAAGTATCAACTTTTAACTTATGCCAAATAGTAACTACAAGCCATTTCTATACCAGTACCCATTTAATAATCAAAATCTAAAGTCAAAATTTCATTTCCCCCCTCTTTCATACAGGTAATCCAGAAGTGGTTTCCAAGTAACCATAAAACTATTTACATACTTGTCCCTAATTAATGCAGTTAACTCCATTACTATCCCCACTAGTTCCATCATCTTCTCAATCCATTCCTCCATTGTGAGGGTTAATGCTTCTTTCCATTTTTGGGCATATAAGATTTTTGCAGCTGTCAACATCTATACCAACAAAGTTCCATTTCCCTCCCTACCCCAATTCTTTACCTAATAATCCTAGAAGAAAAGTTTCTGGTTTCCATTGTAATTATCCAAAGAAATTATGAGGAGAGGAAACTTTATAAGAAAGATAAGATGATTCACCTTATTTGCTGCAGATTTGATAAGATAAACAGCCATACTTTACTATTAGGAATAGGCAGCTGGTGTTATGAGATTGCCTGAAGGGAAGAAAACTCTTAACAGAAAAGTAACATGGCATGTCAGCAAGGTATAAGAGGTATCGAAAGTTCCTGAATTAGCGAAGATTGCTAGGAGAGAACAGTGGGCAGAAGTGGATTCCAGCAAAAAGAAAGGGAAACCCTAGGAAAGCACCATCTCTCTCATACAAACATTTAGTAGAATGTTTGGAAAAGTGTTTATAAAGAAGAACAACTGACTGAGGGGAGATTCACAGTGACCATGATGTGTTTCAAAGACAGTAGAGATCAGGGGGAAAAGAGGAAAGTATTTCAATTTACCACACAGAGGTGGTCCAAAAATGGCTTCCCTCGACAGTCAAATTGAAGTCAGGACTACATGGAGCACTTGATCCAATTATAAATCCTATATGTTACTTTAAGGCAAACAAAAAACAAAAAACCCAACCCAATTGCTCAGCCTTGCCCTTCCCTAGAAGCAAATAACCTTTGGTTAAAGCAAATAACCTTTCCCCATCTTTATTAGGGTTAGTTAGGGAGAAACTGGAGATAAAAACCAGTATCCCTCAATGCGGTAATGGATATTTTGTAATGCAGATAGTGCAAGGATGAAGGAGGCATAACTAAAGATACAGGGACATAATTGGAGGCCTGGACCCCTTTTCGGGTCCTTTTTCTCTCTGTATGGTTTTTTTTTAAGTGGTTGAAGAATTTAAGGGATACAATAGATGTGTGGTGAAGGCTTTTGCTTTTTGAAGCTCCCCTTCAAAAAACAGTTAAAAATCAGAAATATTCCACATTTCATGGCTGTGATATCTATAACTCCTCTGAAGATAACAAAATACAGGGCTGTTTGGCAATATGCATCCCATGGACTAAGAATATCCTGCCTTGATCTAGTGGTTTGTTGTAAACAAAGCTTAAAGGTTAGAACTGTAGAGAAGAGGAACATCAAATATGTGTGGTTGGTTTTTTTTAGAGGAATGTGGGTAGCGGTGCTTAATATTTACTGTATGCAATAAGATCCTAGGGAGAACAATAGATGAATATAAAGCAGAGAGGTGGAGCATTGGTTATAGTAATAAACAGTTGTAAGATGACAGATTAGCAGACCACAATGGAGGGGACAAGGAGAACAATTGAGTAACTAGGTCAACAGAAAACAAGGAAGATGCTGAAGAATGATGAAGAATGTGGGAAAATGCCAACATTTCCAGCTTACTTTACTGAAGAAGGAATAGCATATTAGCTGCATCTTCTGGAAAACTGAAGTCCAGAAGACATTCAATTGGAGAAGACTGCTTTAAAAATGGAAGATAGAGATTGTGCTCCTTCAGATGTTCTTGGATTACAACCCCCAGCATCTCTCATCACTGGTCCTGCAGTGTTTAATGAGACTGCTGGTAACTGAAGTTCAGCTACATTTGGGGGACCACTGATTGCCTACTTAGGCTCCACAAGATCAGAGGCATGGGAGAAAAGCTGCAATGGAAGACAATGATACCTCTGTAATAACATTTTTACACACATGTTGCTTGACCAAATTTAATGGAAGTACTGACAAGCAACTGAAGCTCTAGGACCAGATTTATTTTTGATTTATTAATTTATATTCTGCCTTTACTATTTTTACAAACCTAAGGTGGTGAACATACCCAACATATCCTCCTCCTCCTCCTCATATTTTCCCCACAACAACAAATCTGTGAAGTGGATTG